TGATGATGTATCAGGTGTTTGATTTTTTTGTCGATCTTCCATTTTTGCTTCTTGGTTTCATGAGTTTGATATGGAAGATCTGCAAATTTTTGGTTTCAAGTGAGTCGTTTGCTTTTTTTTTCTTCATAAATTCAAGGTAATAACTCGTCTTCCCTCATTACTTTTGTGTGATTTCCTTTATTGCATCAGATTTCTGACTTCATTGTTGTTGGTGAGATGACTAACATGGATATAGTGGTGATAGAATTTTACAAGACATATTAAATAGGAGTTTAGTTGGTTTAATAGTTTACGGTTTACATCTTAAATAAATATAACAATGTGTATAAGGGTTAATGCCAAAAAAGAGGTATAAAGTTTGACTAAAGAACTCAAACTTCATTTTTTTCCTGGAATGACGATATTGATCATTAAGTTCACAAATTCATTCTGTTGATTGCCCATTCTAGTATTGTTACTTTACCACAATGGATACAATCAAAGTACATTACTACAATAAGGCAAAATAGAAAGTAGATTGCTATTTTTTGCATTTAGCCCTTAAAACGATAATACTTTGTACATGTAGTACTATTATACGCATACTTGGTCCAGTTATAATCATTTACCTAATTCTAAACCCATGTATAGGTTATTAAACACATTTAATCATATGGATATAATATTTTGATAGAAGTTTTGATTTATAGGTATCTAGATTTGGGAGTTATTAGGAACTTGCTTCTGGTTTAAGGTCAAATACAAAACATCTTATCATATTTCATACTTTTATGCCACAAGACATTAAGATTTGTTGTAATACACAATTTCTCCTATCTATTCGGAGAAACTTGCTTAAGTATTTTTCCCTATTTTTTCTATTTGGATTTTTGTTCAAATAATAGAGCCATACTCGCCCTCTTAAAGTACGTTGCAGGTTGTAAATTCCTCTATTGAAACAGGGCAAGAATTGCACATGAATTAATGTTAACAAACTATGAACCTACAAATTTTTGGTTTCAAGTGAGTCTTTTGCTTTTTTTTCTTCATAAATTCAAGGTAATAACTCGTTTTCCCCCATCACTTATGTGATTTCCTTTATTGCATCAGATTTCTGACTTCATTGTTGTTGGTGAGATGACTAACATGGATATAGTGGTGATAGAAATTTACAAGACATATATTAAATAGGAGTTTAGTTTGTTTAATAGTTTACAATTTACATCTTAAATAAATATAACATTGTGTATAAGGGTTAATGCCAAAAAAGAGTTATAAAGTTTGACTGAAGAGCTCAAACTTCATTTTTTCCTGGAATGATGATATTGATCATTAAGTTGACAAATCCATTCTGTTGATTGCCCATTCTAGTATTGTTACTTTACCATAATTGATACAATCAAAGTACATTACTATAATAAGGAAAAATAGAAAGTAGATTGCTATTTTTTGCAATTAGCCCTTAAAACAATAATACTTTGTACATGTAGTACTATTATACGCATACTTGGTCCAGTTATAATCATTTACCTAATTCTAAACCCATGTATAGGTTATTAAACACATTTAATCATATGTATATAATATTTTGATAGAAGTTTTGATTTATAGGTATCTAGATTTGGGAGTTATTAGGAACTTGCTTCTGGTTTAAGGTCAAATACAAAACATCTTATCATATTTCATACTTTTATGCCACAAGACATTAAGATTTGTTGTAATACACAATTTCTCCTATCTATTCGGAGAAACTTGCTTAAGTATTTTTCCCTATTTTTTCTATTTGGATTTTTGTTCAAATAATAGAGCCATACTCGCCCTCTTAAAGTACGTTGCAGGTTGTAAATTCCTCTATTGAAACAGGGCAAGAATTGCACATGAATTAATGTTAACAAACTATGAACCTACAAATTTTTGGTTTCAAGTGAGTCTTCTGCTTTTTTTTCTTCATAAATTCAAGGTAATAACTCGTTTTCCCCCATCACTTATGTGATTTCCTTTATTGCATCAGATTTCTGACTTCATTGTTGTTGGTGAGATGACTAACATGGATATAGTGGTGATAGAAATTTACAAGACATATATTAAATAGGAGTTTAGTTTGTTTAATAGTTTACAATTTACATCTTAAATAAATATAACATTGTGTATAAGGGTTAATGCCAAAAAAGAGTTATAAAGTTTGACTGAAGAGCTCAAACTTCATTTTTTCCTGGAATGATGATATTGATCATTAAGTTGACAAATCCATTCTGTTGATTGCCCATTCTAGTATTGTTACTTTACCATAATTGATACAATCAAAGTACATTACTATAATAAGGAAAAATAGAAAGTAGATTGCTATTTTTTGCAATTAGCCCTTAAAACAATAATACTTTGTACAAGTAGTACTATTATACACACACTTGGTCCAATTATAACCATTTACCTAATTCCAAACCCACGTATAGGTCATTAAACACATTTAATCATATGTATATAATATTTTGATAGAAGTTTTGATTTATAAGTATCTGGATTTGGGAGTTATTATGAACTTGCTTCTGGTTTAAGGTCAAATACAAAACATCTTATCATATTTCATACTTTTATGCCACAATACATTAAAATTTGTTGTAATACAAAACTTCTCCTATCTATTCGGAGAAACCTGCTTAAGTATTTTTTTTCCTTATTTTTTCTATTTGGATTCTTGTTCAAATAAGGTAAGAATGGAGTCATACTCGCCCTCTTAAAGTACGTTGCAGGTTGTAAATTCCTCTATTGAAACAGGGCAAGAATTGCACACGAATTAATGTTAACAAACTATGAACCTACATTTCCAATGAAGGCTCTTAGGCATATTCTTTAGTATATTTGTTTCTTAGCTTTTCATTAGTTTTCATATCAATATTTAAATTTATATATTAGTTGCTTAAAACAAGCCTTAAAAATTGTTTTTTTTTGTTCAAGCATTATACTTTGAAAGTACAAAGCTAAATATGGTAGCCATTAACAAGTATAATGTATGTGTATCTGTGTTTATACACTTCCGAGTATCAATTTTGTTGAAAAGAATCGACACATCGTCAAGAACTCAAGATTATATCAATTTTAACGGTTAATTGGTCTTTGGTCAAGAACTTAGGATTGTATCATTTTGGTATGTTATTTAACTAGTCTTTGGTCAAGATCTCATTTACTCGTATAGGCTTTAACCCCTACCAGAGACCAGATCAAATATTAGTCAGTCGTTACAACTTACAACATGAATTGTCAAGTTTGCTATGCTTTTAACTATCAACTTGAACTTTTTGTAGATTTTAATACTTTATGCTTATCATCAACAAGCTTTTTTAATAGTGTTAAAATTTGATTGTTTGATTTTTTTTTTTTTTTTTTTTTTTTTTGGTTGTAGAAATCGAATTTTTACCATTGGATAGTTATTATAATATATTTAAATTAGGCATGACAATTCTCGATACAATTCGTGACTAGATTAAAAGAGTCGATATTTAAACATGTTTTGAGTTTTCTAACCTACCAACCCGTCAGGTCGTTTATTAAATGGGCCGTGTTAAGGTTTGTACCGTTTATGTTTTTAATTAAAAAGTTATTTATTTATTAAATGTAGTAAGTCAACGGTAACAAGCACATGCAATTTGTAATTTGTTTGCCTTTCCTTTTGTTACTCAGTTACTACCTTTCCCTTTAACCTTTGTTCACATTTTTGTTTTTACCATTTTGCCCTAAATCTCACAAAATTGAAAATACTCACGCGAGACACTGATGAACGGCCGGTGAACGCCTTCTCCTCGTCGAAAATCCCAGCTCGCCACCGCCAGTAGCCGGTCGCCGGCTGTCCGCCAGTTGTCGTGTCTCTTCGGTGCTCAACGGATAAGGAAACAGAGCAGAATATTGATGCTCCGTCGATAAGACATTAGCCACGACGACTGCCTTTCCGATTCCCAGGTTTTCCTCTGCGATCGATCTGCTGTTGCTGCGCTTCCCTGCTCTCAATCTTCTGTTCTGGTATGCTTTCTTTTTTCATATTTAGTTGCTTCAGCAGTTAATCTGTTAATTCACACAAAATTTCATATTTAGTTATATGTGTATGTGTGTTTCAGTTTTTGATGTCATACCTGTACAATTCACAGATTCGCACAAGTAACTCAATTATTTCTTCCATTTTTGATTTTGATTATTTCTTATATCTTGAATTGATAACTCAATTTATAGCATCTTACTTTCAGTAGGTTTACCGACCCATATAAAAACGAACCCATAAGGGTCTTGGAACTGAAAAAACTGACTTGTATGGTTTGGGTTGGATTTTAACCAAAGACCTACCCATTCTTATCCCTGGTTTAGAGAAGGTAGGTTCCTTAATCATTTAGAGGGGTCATTCAAGAGAGGCCATTCAGAGGCTATATAAAACGCAATGATTGTTGGCTTATTCAGAAGTGCATCTGAATAATTCAATTCAGTGGTTATTAAACGATAAATTTTATATATTGGTTATTTGGTTTTAGTTTATCCAAAACACCGTTTGATGTTTTGGTTTTTTGTATGCGGTAAAAATACAGAGTTTCGTCTACAACCTAAAAAAATTGTGATTTTCAATTTATAAGTTCCACAATTATTAAAAAAACCCAATCCCATTAATCCAAATACAAATCAAAAGTCCATGATTAGGTAAATAGAATAACCAATCAATCAATCCGAATAAGAGTTGGAGCAATTTTTGTTTGGGTGTCGAAAATAACAACAGTTATGTTTGGATATAATTATGCTGTTTGAAGTTGTAGTAACTAATAACCATATAATAACAGAAAAGACATTCTTGTCAAAAAGTAAAAAAGTAGTTCACATTGAAATCTTTTCAACTAGCTCCAACTTTCAAAATAAAAGACATAATAAAGTAAAATATCATAAAATGGTATTATTGCATTTATTTTGAATGCAGCAAGTGTAGAAATTGCATATGAAAGCTTTTTTTTTTTTTTTTTTTTTTTTTGCTTGCAATAATTCCACTTTTACTGAACTAGTTAACAAGTAAAAGCAAGTTTTGTTTCGACTAAATTGCACGTATTTCACTTGTTAACTGGTTCACATAAGTACTTACTTGAATTATGAAAGAGCCCATAAGTTAGATTTAAATAAATGTTTTGGGCTTTGGGCCAAATAAATTATATCGAATTATTGATTCTTCATCGATCACCAGGCTTCTTCTTCTTCATCGATCAGCTCAGCAGGCTCGGATTTTGAACCAGGTATGTTAGTTAGGTTTAGGTCTACGTATACGAGTTCATTGATAAAACTGCGTGCGTTATTTAATTTTGATTATCAGGCGGTGGGTATGTTTCACCATTTGTTACTTTCTAGTTCTGATTCCGCGTTCTTCATAGTTTTGCTGTAATACATAGCTTCTCATTTCTAAATATTTCATGTTATCAGAGTGGCTTACCACCATTAATTTCGAGTTCTGATTCTGCCTTCCTTTTAAGTTGGGATCCATATTCTTTAGCATCCGATTTTTTTGGCTCTTACAATTTTTTGTTTTCATTCAAGTTTATGAATGCCTACCAGGTGTTTGATGTTTTAAGTTTATGAATGCCTACCAGGTGTTTGATGTTTTGTTCCTTTTAACACCACTACTTTTACTTAATCCTCAAACATGCCTAGTCTTCTAGTTGGAAACACTTTTGTGAATTCTTACAGTTTTTGTTCTCATTCAAGTATCCCAATTAGTATATACAATGTCCCCTAAATGACATAGTGGCTTATGTGATCCATATTCATAAAGATGCCCTTTTTATATACATAACATAGTTACATCTTCTATTCTCCAACTTCTAATATGTGATCCATATCTATATAACCCCTTTTCCCCTTATGTGGTAGTTGTGGTGCAGCTTCCTTGGGACATAAGAGAAGCGTGAGATATAGAACATGGTGGCTGCTTCCGCCTCCTTCAGGTGGATACTGCAACTGCATAAAGATGTTCCAAAAGCTGCAAAATTTTACAAAGAAGGCCTTGATTTCACCATAAATGTGTGTACTCTCCGGTGGGCTGAACTTGAATCCGGCCCTCTCAAGCTCGCTCTCATGCATTCTTCCAGGTCACTTTCAATCCCCTCTCTCTCTCTCTCTCTCTCTCTCTCTTTCTCTCTCTCTCTCTCTATATATATATATATATATATATATATATATATATATATATATATATATATATATATATATATATAGCGATATAAGTTCTTCTGTATATACACTACAGTGAGATTGAGGTTCAGAAGGGATACTCGTCACTGTTATCATTCAGTGTGACCGACATTAACAGCACGGTGACTAAACTCATGGCTTTAGGTGCAGAGATGGATGGGCCTATCAAATATGAGGTCCATGGAAAGGTAATAATAATAATAATAATAATAATAATAATATTATTATTATTATTATTATTATTATTATTATTATTAAGATTCAAAAAATTGTTGCTTTTGTTGGCAGGTTGCTGCAATGCGTTGTATTGATGGTCACATGTTGGGTCTTTATGAGCCTGTTTGAAACATTACATTTTAAAACCCAATAACAACCATTTTCCTTTTGATTATCAAAGTGTATTCTTAAGTCTTAACAACAGGTAGATTGTTTGTAAGTTCTCTTTTTCTTTCATTGAATTTGTAGTTCCTGCCTCTTCAATACATACAGATTTTCATATTGCTCTTTTCAAAATATCGTATTACTGTTGTATTCTTTTCTTTATGCTCATTAATATCATCAAGTCACAATGAACTTGAAAAGAACTTATTAGAAATATTTGATACTAGTTTGGTAATTGGTAATAACCACAACTCAAAGTATGCAAAGTGGAAATTATAGCAATTTTAAGGGTTTCACCCTTTTTTTTAGTAACATAGTATATAACTAGTGGGTGGCATGTGTTGTGCCGAATTTATTAAATTTATACTTTCCACACAAATGACACAATTTTTCTAATGTTTTCTTACATAGGGACCATTTCTATAAATTTGTTATTAAACAATGACCATTTCTCTAGTTTTGTGAAACGTATGGAAAATTTCTATAATTTTGCTTTTGGCATGGGTTATTTTTGTAGTTTTGTGAAAAGCATCATAGAATATTTTTATAAATTTGTGAAACATAGATTTTCTAATAGGCAGGGACCATATCTATAGTTTTAAGAATCATATGAACTATTTTTGTAAATTTGTTATAAGGAAGAGGATATTTATGTAACTTTTTGAAACATAGGGACCATTCTTGTAAGATTGTTGTAGACGAGTGAAGGATAATCGACATCGGCAAAAGTTATCGGACCATGTGTATGTGAGATTGTTGTAGACGAGTGAAGGATAATCAACAAAAACATTTGGTAGCTCTTTCAAGGAATCCAAAAGGAGAAAGAGTGCTTGAATTTGAGGTAGTCAATGATTTTGACTCTTTCTTCCTTAAAGTAATGGAGTGTAGGTGTAACAACTCGTTTTCACTCTTCAGTACAATTTAATATAAACAGTTTATTTATAAAATTCAAATTTGAAAGATGTTACTTTTTAGCCAAAGTAATCATCATAAACATGTAGGAAACATCAATACGATTTCAATAGATATATAGAACGCTTAAATCTGACTTCGTATGAAGAAGTTATGATTATTTGAAGTTTTGCGTTCAACCCTATATGGCAAAGCGCGTCGTTAAATACGAATCAGAGATAGATGACTTATTAGCCCGAGGAATCTAAACGAAAGTCATAGTAATCGTAAAAGGCAAAGCATACATATAGAGAACGTCTAACTCTGACTTCTTATACGAAAGTTATGATTTTTCAAAGTTTCAGCGTAACAGTCTGCGACACAAAAACCGAAATTAAGATCGGTTGATTATTGGGCAAAAAAATCTAAACGAGAGTTGAAGATATCGTCAATACCTATCCGTTGATATAAAGACAATTGAGAATAGATGTCGTACGAAAGAGATATGATTTTTAAACGGAGTTTAGCAGTCTAAGCCTTCTAAAAATAATAAATAAAAAATAATGTGAGAATTAGCCGACAAAGTCTAAATGAAACATGTAGATCTCGTCAATAGCTACGCGTGGATCTAAATAACGTCAAAAACGAAGCTTGTATGAAGAAGTTACGGAATTTACAAAATTTGCGTTTTACGTGGCACACGCTTCTAGAAGGTGCGGCGTGGACCACCACTTTGTCGACACGTGTCAACACCAAATGCATCCCTACTACGTTGAGCGTAGCACTATCCCTACGCTGAGCGTAGCTCCCCTGATTTGTTTTAAATACTTCAAATTTCTCACTCTTTTCCTCATAACTTTCTCATCATCTTCCTTTCTCTATTAAATTTTCCCGCACTTTTGAGGTCAAACTTTAGGATTTTTTATGGATCAGTAACGAAGCTCTGAAGCGTCAGAGAGCCCGATGAAAAAGAAGATTTCAGAGTCGAAATTCTGCCTGCGACCTTCCTGGTTTTCGCAAGAAATTCCTGTAAGTTGAGTTGCACTTACTATGCTTTAAGTGTAACTTATATTTATATTCATAGTCGTTGTTATGAATGCATAAATAAGATTTATCAGTAATTCCATTCATAATACTGATTGATCTACTTACGTGATAGGTGTCTAGAATGGTCACGTTGGCTTGGTTGTTGGATTATAGAAATGCTATATGCCGAAATGGTCCTGCCTCCCAACTGCCATGTCTGGCTGATCCATATTTGATAGAACTCTCGGTATTCATTGGGATTAGTGAAAGAACTAGCTTTCATTACCAAAATTTTCATAGATATTAATAAGTTATAGTATCATAACTTAATATTTGTTAAGCGCGTTACCCGCCAGTTGGATCGCCAGTAGGATCACCTATATAGCTGTCAATCGTCTGAGTAATTGTCTAGGTGAGTTTTCTACCTCTAGTGTATACTCCAGTATGTATCCTTTGTATGTTAGGATATAGTTGCCTTGTAGTATGTATTAGGCCACTAGACTAGCTTAGTTAGTTGCCTGTCAAACTTTTGAAAAAGAAGAACTGGCTTTCTTTGAATTTGAAGTAATCAGACTATCCCAATTATGACACTCATGGAGAAAGAATCTTAATAAATGTGTTTGTCTGTTATATACGTGTTGACATATTATATGGGGAGTTGATGGCGGTCCAACCTCGGGCTGAAGGCCAATAGACTCGGGCGGAGTAGCGTTATGTTAAAGGCCAAGTAGCAGATCAACTTTATGTTGAAGGCAAAAGTAGCGGATCAACTTTATGTTGAAGGCCATTATGTGTATTATTGGTGAATTGGTGAATGGTTTTGAGCCATTATGTGTATGCATTGTATATGTGTTGAGGTATATGGTATTTTGGGGAACTCACTAAGCTTCGTGTTTACCCAATTTATTATAAATGTTTTTTAGGTACTTCATTGGTTCGTGAGAAGGGCAAGGTTCGAATGTACACACGTGCACTCGCAACATGTTTCCGCATAATTGTAATTGTACTATGATATATTCGAATAAATAAAAATGAAAAATTTAGGTTGAAAATGGGGACATTCTAGTAGAGGTTTATTGGGAGTGAGATACGGTAGGGCTGGGTGGGGGTAAGGGGAGGGTTATTTATTTATTTCTTAATTTTTAATTAAAGTTATTTTATTAAATTAAGAAAAAAATCCAAAAGAAACTAAAAAGAGTATAAGAGTCTTTTCATGTGGTTGAGGGACCAATCATGCAAGTTTTAGAAACCATAGGGACCATGTTTGTAAAAAAAAGCAGAGACTAAAGTTGTGACTTTTGGTAAACCACAGAGACCATATATGTAATTTTATAACAAAAACCATTTTTGTAGATAATTTTAATCCTAACAATTGTAAGGAGTTCTAGAATTTAGTTATCATGTCTAAAGGAGGACATAATTGTCCCCGTTATTCCCGTTGAAGTAGGTGAACCCGCCAAACCCTTTGTGGAAGGGGTCGAACCCGCCCAAACTGTATCCTTTCCAACCCATGTTCCCCATTTTCCTTCTTTGATTCCACCCTCCCATGATTTCTTGAACCCCTTCAACACCCATCTCTTTCTCTATTGCTCTCCTCCCGATGATCCCTCTTGTCCTTCCAGGTCAAACTCGCTTAACAAAACCTCTACCATTTCGTCTTCCCTAATGTCTAAATCATCACCTGTCATAATTGTCAATGGTTAAGATAAATTATGATTCAAATAAACGCAATTATATTCAGGGCCGGCTCAAGCCGATTTGAGGCCCGGGTCAAAATCGAAATAAACGAGGCCCTTTTAAATTAAGAAATCTAGAATCAAATAATTAAATTGTGTGTGTATGTGTGTGTGTGTATATATATATATATATATATATATATATCTATATATCAAAAAAGTGAATATATGGTAGTCATGTATGTAATATTAGGTATAGAACAATCAAAATCGACTTCATTTTGATTAACAAAAAACACAATTTTCTTTCATTTTCAGATTTTTCTTATTGCTTTTGAACTAATATTATTTTTGATTTCGTGATTCATCCCCAACATCTATGTATTTCGAATGTGTTTTTTTTATTAGACCTCTAGTAGGCTTCATAACTTAATCCGACACCACCTTACGTATATTTGCATTGTTTTTTATGTGTTATGGAAAGAGGTTTATTAGGTTTTTTGATGTACACTTTCAATCTTTCACTATAGTTTTTTGTATTAAATTTCAATACGGAGACCTACAGGTAGTTGGCAAAATATTCTTATACACGGTTTGTGGTGCAATATTAAACTTATAAAACTCCATAAAAAATTATATACAAAACCTATCATAAGCACTAATAGAGGATGCAAAAAAGATGGTAGAGATGTTTGATTGCATTTTGTTAAAATTATGTAGTTTTTGATGGTTCTATACCTAATATTAGATACATAACAATCACATATTCCCAAACCTTATATATATATATATATATATATATATATATATATATATATATATATATATATATATATATATATATATATATATATATATATATATAGTTTAAGGGTGTGAGTTAAATACTAAAACTAATACAACTGTTAGGTTGCGTAAAAAAAAAATACGAACACAAACCAAAAAATGGAACAAACCATTTTGAAAAAACAGCGGTTTAGTTTTTGCATTTAAAAAGACCAAATTTTTAGGTTCGGTTTGACATTTGTTTATATAAAACTCGAAAAACATAACCATACGAGATTATCCAAACGACAACCTTCCATATATAAATTTAATTGATAAGCATATTATACATTAAAATATGTAATGTGTCTTATTCTTAACATTAGGAAATACCGACTAATTAAGAGTATGGGGGAAATTGTATCCAGTTTACGGATCACATGCTGACGTGTCTTGGCATACGTGGAATTAAGCTAGACCATGTCACCGTATACGGTGGCATACCTTCCTTAAATGGAACCCTCAATCGAACCAAGTGGAATACGTTCTTACCCCCCAATTAGTTCATTATTTCCCTCCTGATACCCTTTTCTCGACCGTTAAAACCAAAGCAATGTCTGCCTCGTCTGGTCGATCCGTCAACAGCCTTCATCTCTAACACCATGGCGATGATGAACAATGTACCCCATGTGATTGTAAAGAAGGAATCAACATCGAAAGGACCGCATGGACTGACGATAACGTAGGTTGAAGGTTTTGGAACTGCAAAAATTCCTTGGTGAGTATTCCTTCTCTTTACGTACACCCTATTTGGTATCTTTAGCTGGAATATATATATATATATATATATATATATATATATATGATAATTGTAACCCTAATTGTGTTCTTCCTTTTTAATCAGTCAAGTGAAGGTCCACAATGTAAATTTTTCCTGTGGAAAGACGATGAGTAGATGGGTAGATGATCATCACATCAGAATTTTTTTGGTTTTTAGATGTATGGGTACATGATCAGGGCAAGTTAATGTATGGTAGATATAGTTTTTGGAAATCTGTGAACATTTGTATTTGATGGCAGTATTGATAGCAACTTTTGTATGTAAATTGTATGAAAGAATGATCCCATGACTGTATGGCAGTGGTAATGATTGAATGACTCATATTCATTTGTTATGAATTATTATTCACATTATGGGTACCACTTGTTTTGTACCTTTGTGTACTTAATGATATGTATGTGGTAAAAGTATTACACATCGTCGGGCATATGGACCACACTTTGTCTATTTAAAATCGAATTGAATTGTGTGTACTGGTCCCTTATGTGAAAACTGTCATAAGGACAGAATCTGGAACAATTTAAAATTGGCATTATGTGGTATTGGGAACATAACTAACAATAACAAATAAGTCCTTGTCATATACGTCCTTGCCAAGAATTTTAACCATATAAGGCCTTGCCATACATGCAATACAACAAATAATTAAAAATAACAACCAACTTAATAACAAACAACCAAGTTCACATTAGTAGCAGATTAACATCAAAAATCCCGAGTACATAGAGTCAAAAAAAAATTACATAGTTTCATACGAAAGTGCATTTTCACTTAATCTAGAGCAAGAGCTTTATCTTTAGAATTCTCAGGTGCATCTTCATCACCAACTCTCTTGGCCAACTTCAGCTTGAGAATCCTTTCAGATTTTTTCCTTCTGATTTTCTTCAAAAGGGCTGCAATTGGTCTTTCCATGACCTCCTGTTGCACATGCACCTCACCAACATTGACATTGTCATTTAGCTGCACTACCATTTCACCACCTCCTTGTTGACTAGGTTCTCCATTTCCTGATGCATCAAACTACATAGGAGTGAGTTCCACCTCATCATGGTCTTTTCTATCATTTCGACCTCCTTCATCACCACCCTCATTCACTTGACTACCACCCTTATTCACTACAGCACCACCATTATTCACTTTAACACCACCCTCATTTACTTATAATGATCCAATATTAGCAAAATTAAAAAAATGTAAACTCATAATCTAAATAATTATTTGCATGTCTTCTTTTTCTTTTGACATCGATTTTAGGAGGCCTTCCAAGAGTACAAGCTCTTTTGTTGTGTCCTTCATCCTTACAAATAATACATTTTTGTTTCTTTCCAGCCTTGGATACTATCTACTTATCATTATTTTGTGTTTGGGTACTCTTCTTTGGTTTGTTCATTAACTGGTTTTCTGTTGCATCCCTTTTCCTTTTAGTTGCAGGTCTCCCAGATATAACTCTATGAACAGGAGGTAAAGGTGGTGTGTACACACTTGATGGCCAAAAATTACTTCTATTCATAGGTTCTATCCTGAACTTGTATGCCTTCATGTAAGTGATGGTACTAAACATTTTGTTCACACATGACTCTACATCCCTATTAAGATAACTAATGATTGCAACAAAATGGCCACAACCAATTTCATTAAGTTTTCCTAACCTGCATGAACAAGTTTTCCTTTCAAGATCTACCTCATAAGTATCTCTAATTCCTCTAACTTCAAACTGATTTAACCCACTAGGTAATACTTGGTAATATATTTGGAATTTCTTAACCTCATTCAATAACTCTCTAATTGTTGGACAAATTTGATTGCCCTATTATTGGCCATTGGCTTTCATGTTGAACACCGTCTCCATCATATACAACCTCAAATCCTCCAACATGGTGATAATTGGCTTCTTCCTAGCATCAACTATTACATTATTGAAGCTTTCTGACATTCCATTCTTCACAGCATCACAACATCCTCCTGGTTTGAAAAAGGCTCTTGACCATGTTTTGGGGTCTTTGTCCATCAGATACTTATGAGCACTTGGGTCTAGAACTTCAATTTCTTTCATGACAGCCTTAAAATCTACCTCATTTGTTGCCTTAGAATCCTTCCAGAACATGCTTTCATATTGGCCACCACTATACCTTTTTCTCAAGTTTTAGCTAATATGTTTAACACACCACATGTGCTCTACATATGGAAGGAGTTATTTGACAGCTTCATTCATACCCTATTATCAATGAGTAGATAAGGTAAATATCTAATTTACCTTGTTATCAATAAGTAGAAATTAAATGAGTATACAAGTAAAAAGGGAAAGGAAGTACAAAGAAGTAAATTACCTTGTGTTGATTAGATATTACACTGTATCCATATCCTAAATTAAGTCCTAAGTCATCAATCAGTAGATCCAAAAACCACTTCCAATTTTCCTTATTCTCCACACAAACTACTTCCCATTCAATGGGATAAATCGCATTGTTTGCATCCCTTCTAACAACACATAACAACTCCCCTTTACATATCCCTTTAAGGAAACAACCATCTAAACCTATTATGTTCCTACATCCCTCTTTCCACCCCTTCTTCAATTCGTCAAAGAAAATATAGAACTTACTAAAGTAGTTCTTCCCATATGGCATACAATTCACATCTAGCTTCATAGTACTACCTGGATTTGATCTTCTAATGTCTTCTGCATATTAACTGTAATGCAAATTTCTTAGCTCTCTTACATTGACCAACACTTAGATGATTACCAAACTTCTGTGACACTACTGTTCCAAGCTTTCTAACACTCATCTTTTTTTTAAATAAGAACTCTCTTATATAATGACTCCCTATCCAAGCATAAGTGATCATTGACCCTAACTTGTAGTTCCTTGCACATTTGTGATCTGGCTTTAAAGACTTGATTTGGAAGCTTGCTTCATCACTCATCCAAGATTCCCACAACCTAAATGTGCAACCAACAATCTTTTCCTATCAGTTTCTCAAAGCAAAGTTGGCACCCATTAGCAACAACATAGTTGCATAACATAGATTTAATTGAGTTAGATCTTTGAATCTCATACCAAGTATTGGTTACTGTTTTTTCCATGGTATTGACTCATTAAAAATGTAATGTTGTTGAGTTACATTTGCCTCCTCTTCACCCCCATCATCATCATCACCTATGTCGTTATCATTTCCCTCTTCCTCTTCACCACATAATCTAGTCAGAAACTCATTGCCCCTTGTTATGTTCATAGTTATTGTATCCTCATTAAAGTCCACCTCCGCATCTCTAAGGTTATCAATTTCATCTTCATTTCACCACCATCAATGCATGAATCATCACCATCTTCTTCTTCTATGTCAGAACCAAACCAATCCTCTATTCCTTGACCATCGTGGTCCACATAGAGGGAAATTATATTGTCGGTCCCATAAGCATCAAAAATGAAACCAATATAGTCTCATTCATTAACAATAGCAGTTATCCCAGATACTAAGGGCTTACCTGGCTCACATTAGTATAACTTCTTTATACTTTCTTGCATGGACCATTCGAGAAAGGTGATACACTCAGAGTATGTCATTCCAGAAAAATTGTGATCATTGAATGTGAATTTGATACCATGTTTATACAAGAAAGGATTTCGAAGAAAACACATTTGAAGTTGAGATCCACTATAGAATACAGTTCATTAGGGTTTGGTTATGAGGTTGACATTGTCGGTTGGTTGGCTGCTCACTGACTTCGATTAGAGAAAACAAGTTTGAACCCTAGTTTTTTTTCGTTCTTGGTCACCGAGAGTTGAGAAAGCCGAAGAACGAGTGTAGTGGTGTGTGATTTAATGTGATTATTTTCACTTCATTTTATTATGTGGACTTAATAAGGTGAATATCTAATTTAATGTAATCCCATAAAAGGAATACAACCGATAGTTCCATTTACCAGGTGCATTATGGTGTAATTAGCCGGTATTTCCTAACATTAAGGACCAATTGAGCACACAAATACTTTAGTGACTAAATGTGTAAATTCGCCAAACTTTGTTGTGCTACATTGCCAAAAACCTATTAAAATTGGCAACCAATAAAGTTTGAAAGGAAGAAACCATGGGAATCGAACCAACATTATGTATACTAAAAGCACATATGGAAAACTCTATATATTAAAAGCTGTGTACATCAGTTTGAAAAAAGTTACCATGGGAATCGAACCTGGTTTATTGGTAAAGACAAACACATCCTAATTAGCCAACCAAGTCAATTATAGATGCATTCATATAAGTTTTAAGACATTCAAAATATATACAGTACCGAACAACATTAATTTGGGGGCCCCAAACGTTGGCAAGACCCGAGACCATCGCCCAACTTGCCCCCTATTGGTTCGGCCCTGGTCATATTGGTCATTTAGACTGTATTTACTCAGAACTAGGCAATGAAGATGTAGACTTTAACATATATTGATATTTGATTAAGCAAGCATAATAAATTAAACAACTTTAATTTTAGAATAATAATAGATTATAATAAAAGGGTATTGTTAGACATGATAACTGTTAAGGGTCAAGATCCTCAACCCTATCTAGGATCCCGAATCTTAAATAAATCTAAGGATACCAAAACATACACGAGGATCCTGATTATTATCTCCTAACAAGATTAACGACTATATTTCTTGTTTATTCTTCACTTGTGTAGAAACAGTCAACAAAAGACTCATCTATTCTGGAGTATCACTTTAAACTGACTTAGGAACCGAAAATACCAAGTCAAAGCAACATGTGAATACTTATTCAAGAGGATCCTGTGAATATCATACTTCTAGTTATTTAGATTAGACTATAGATTCACATGTATAATTCACACTACACACACCTAGAGCTACTCAAATAGTTGTACTCGTATTGATATATGTAATTTGCATTCGAATCAATAAAATCAAACAAGGCAGGTGATCCTTATCACCTCCCCATGATTTTATGTTGGAGATCCTATCAAGGATTAAGGGCTTTCCTTGTAAACCACTTGTCTCATTTTGATCTTAATTCAATACTTATCATAGTCTCAATACCACAACCTCTCATACAATTTGGTTGATATCCATTCGATTGATTTTTTACCAAAAGAATTTGGAGCTCACTGTGTGATCGTGGTGTTCCTAATTCTTAATAATCACGTCTACACAACCAATCCTATCTTGTTCCTCTATTCCTCCTATTTCTTCAACAAAATATGCCACCACCTCCAAGCGAAATCCTTGGTCAAAGGAAAACTTCTAATGCATCAAAAAATAGCACCTCTCCGATCAGTAGACATGGGAATCCGGGATCCATGGGGTCCTAAGATCCTCTCGCTTCAATCTATAACAATGAACTCTTCTCCATGATGAAGATGTTAACACATCAGTTGACTCAACAACATGAAGACAACAGAGCACTGCTCAAGGAGGTGGAAAGGATAAATGAAGAGATCCGTAAACCCCTTGAAGTGACACCCTCGATCTTGCAACCCAAGATACTAAATTTTGACAACACATGATCCTTAGGGAAACGTTCGGAGACTACAGTTCCAAGATCCGTTGCTACTCCAACTGGGGGTGTAATCCAAAGCAATCGAACTACTGTGATCCAGGATCTAGACGAAGCTTTCACTACCCCTAATAACAGAAATGTTGGTAACTTCTTTGAAAGTAACATTGTTACTAACTCTGTAAATCTTGATGCAATAATAAGTCCAATCATGGCTAAAGAACTTCAGAAACTAAGATAGATGATCTCGAGCGTGCCAAGGGTGGTTTAACATATACCGAAAGTGTCCCCTAACAGTCATAGGTTCTCGAGATTTATCCCCTCGATAGCGGACACTAAAGTCCCAAAACGCTTCCAAACTCCCAATATGAGACCCTACTACGGAACCACAAATCCGGATGAGCACATAGTGAAGTATAGAGAAAGAATGGATCAAACTTGAAATGGATTGTCTATGCAGGGGTTTTGGTTCAACTCTCATAGGATGAAACTTGAAATGGATTCTTGGTGTTCCTCTGTACTCCATTACCTCTTTCGCTCATTTAGTTAATCTTTTCAATAATCAGTTTTCCTACAGTAGGATATACGAAAGCATCACTAGTGATCTTTATCGAGTAGTCCAGGATCCTAAGGAATCCCTTAGAGACTTTGTGAGCAGATTTGGCAGGGAGGCATTAAACATTCCAAACATTGACATGACTACTGCCGTGGAAGCTTTCTTGTAACACTCGTTTCATATACTAGTTAATCTCTAATTTTGAACTTTCATTTTGGGTGGCCACGACGTAGTGGAACTTCACCACAGCATGGTAATACTTTTTTATGACTGCAGGATTTGGATGACTCGTCATGGCCTGGCTATGGTGCCACGGTGTTGAAGCTGTCTTTGGAGAAAACCCTAATCCTTGGCTTTAGGCTTTATTTAAAGGACAATATGGCTAGGTTTTTGTGATCATTCAACCTCCACCACACTCCCAAGCTTAGAAACCCTAAACCTAGCCTCCTTTTCATATTGTGAGCTCATTTTGGTACTTTTTGTGATCTTTGAAGGAGAAGGAAGCCTCTTAGTATGGTGGTTCACCTTGCAAGCATCATCTTCATCTTCTAGCATATCTTCTATACCTTGGTGAGTGTCCAAGACTCAATCTTTACATTGCTAAGTTGCTATATCTCTAGATTTGTACCTTATTCTTCATGTTTTGGTGGATTGGAGTGGTAAGATCTCATAAATTTTGCAACTTTATGAACCTCCGAGCCATTTGGGGTGTTTGGGGTTTTGGATCTGAATTAGGAATGAGTTTTGGTTTCATGCATGAAATCTTGGTCATAAAACCCTTATTTTGGCCTAATATGAGCTCAAGACATGCATTAGACATGCATGTTTGTAAATCACAAATTTTTATGTTAGTTTTGGTGCTAGGAACTCTTTTGGAATGAATAGACAAGAAACATCCAAGATTTAGGGCTTAATGATTAAGCCCATGTTGTGTTTGGCCTTTATTGAACCTAGGGTTTGAGATATTGATCTCTTGGAGGGTATTAAGGAATAAAGTTGGAAACTTTATCCATCTAGACCATAGGAAGGACCAGATCTAAGCCTTGGAGCTCTTGGAAATCGAAGAAAACGGCTTAACCCATTAAGATGTTAGGAACCCAGTGCCCACGACATGGCCTTAGGTCGCCACGACATGGCGACTGGGAAATGCCTGTCTGTATCATCATATATAGGCCACAACATGGTTATGGATGGTCACAATGTGGCTGTTGACTAAAGTCAACGTTGACCGTTGACTTTTGGTTAAACTCCTAGTTTTGGAAGGAAAGTTAAGGGCTTACCTTGTGTAACTGTATAGGTGGTGTATAGCATCGTTATTTTCTGGTAGTGAGAGGAGTAGCAGCTGATTATCGTCTGAGAGGTGAGTCTCTTCACTATACTCGTGGGTCGAAGGCACCAATGCCGACCCACTGGATTATCTTTGTTGGATGATAGATTTCCTTGTGACACGTGTTGATATGCATGTATGTGCTTGTTGTCTTTGTGAATCTTGCTGATATGACTGTATGTTGATTGTATGTGGGGTGAAATAGACCCGTTCGGTTGAAAAATACCGATTGAGTTGAAATAGACTTGGGGATGAAATAGACCCAGAGGTGAACTAGACTCGTTACAGCTTCGAGTTGATATGTATGTATGGTGTGGGGTATTTTGGGGAACTCACTAAGCTTTGTGCTTATAGTTTATGTGATTTCAGGTACTTACAGTTCCAATGGGAAGAACTCGACATGATTGTACCGCATCCACCAATGTTCCGCATGATTTAAATTGTTTTGTACTCTGATGAACATATGACATGTTTTTATACTCTGCTGAGATTTTCTAAATGAATGAATGGCTGTTTTGATTGATTAAAAAAACCACTTATAATTTTTTAGACGTAACATTTCAAAATGGGTCTCAAGAAGGATTCCTCATCTATGAAGATATTGTAATGACCCCATGCAAGAGAATGGATGAAGTCAGAAGTAGAACAGTAAGGTTCATCAAACTAGAAGAAGACAAAGAAATTCAGAAGAGAACCAACACTCCAAAATCTTATGACAAACCTAATAGGAAGGCCGATTCCTCGGCTCAAAGATCCTATAAATCAAAACCATACTCCAAACCTGATCATCATAGGCTTAATTCCCTTGACGGTGAAGGGTAGGAAGATGAATTACCCAAGA